ATGACGTGGATGGAGGAAAGATTTCAGGACCTTCATTTGCTGATGGGGCATTACTCAAAATGAAAATAAACACTTGCAAACATTCATTAATAATCAGAAAAAGGAATGAATGAAGTATGAATCTAGAAAAATTCACAATTGTCAAGAATGAATGGAATTCATAAAGATCGATATCCTAGGAATTAATGAGATGAAGTGGACTAGTATTGGCCATTTTGAATCAGGTAATCATACAGTCTACTATGCCAGGAATGACTAACTGAAGAGGAATGGCATCACATTCATCATCAAGAGGAACATTTCAAAATTTATCCTGAAGTATAATGCTGTCAGTATAATGCTGATTATTTATGCATGAACCACTAACACCAAGATGAAGAAATTAAAGACTTTTACCAACTTCTACAGTAGTCTGAAATTGACCAAACATGCAATTAAGATATATTGATTATTACTGGCAATTGGAATGAGAAAGTTGGGAACAAATAAGAATCATTGGTAGCTGGATAATATGCCATTAGTGATAGAACTGATGATCAAGATTGCATGATAGAATTTTGTAAGACCAATGACTTATTCATTGCAAATATCTTTTTTTTAACACCATAAACAGCATCTATACATGTGGACCTCATCAGATGGAATGCTCTGGAATCAAATTGACTATATCTGTGGAAAGAGGTTATGGAGAAGTTCAGTATCATGAGTCAGAGCAAGGACAGGGCTGACTGTGGGTCAGACCATCAGTTGCTCATATACAAGTTCAAGTTCAAGCTGAAGAAAATTAAAAAGAGTCCACAGGAGCCAAAATATGACCTTGATTATATCTCACCTGAATAGAGAGAACATATGAAGAATAGATATGATTCATTGAATGCTAATGACAGAAGATCAGATGAGTTGTGGGAAACAACAAAAACATCATACATGAAGAAAGCCAAATGTCATTAAAAAGACAGGAAACAAAGAAAGGATCAAAATGAATAATCAGAAAAGACTCTGAAACTTGCTCTTGAATGTAGAGTAGCTAAAGTGAATAGGAGAAATAGTGAAATAAGAGTTGAACAGAAGATTTCATAGGGTGGCTCAAGAAGACAAAATAAAGTATTAAAACCTGCAGTTAGAAAACCAAAAGGGAATAACACACTCTGCATTTCTAAAGCTGAAAGAACTGAAGAGAAAATTCAAGCCTTGAGTTGCAATATTGAAAGATTCTATGGACAAAATATTGATAGATGTAGGAAGCACCAAAACAAGATAGAAGAAATACACAGACTCACTGTACCAAAAAGAATTGGTCAATGTTCAGGTATTTCAGGAGGTAGCATATGATCAAGAACCAATGGCACTGAAGGAAGAAGTCCAAGCTGAAATAAGGGAATTGGCAAAAAAACAAGGCTCCAGGAATTGATGGGATTGATATAGCACTTGTTCATTTATACCAAGAAATCTGGAAGATCTAGATCCACAGCCAAATGTGTTTGGCTGGGATCTCTAGAGAAGCACAACCAGTAAAGCTTATATATTTTCCTAAGGTAAATATATATATATTAGGAAAATGTCTCACACAGTTATAGTGGCTGGCAAGTGCCAAGTTCCTGGATCAAACATCAAGCGCAAGGCTTTCCTGACTCACACAGCTGCAGAGGCTGACAAGCTCAAAGTTGGTAGCAGAATAATGGCTGTTGACTTTGGCTGATGACGAATCCAAGAGCACCAGGCAGAGTGGTGGGTTGTTCGCTCATGGACAGTTGTCAGCAGCACAACAGGATCCAAATCCACAGCTACCTAGCCAACCAACTGGAAGAGATCATATTTGTGCCCATTCCAAAGAAAGATGATCCAACAGAATGTGGAAATTATTGAACAATATTACTAATTTCATATGCAAGTGAAATCTTGCTAAAGATAATTAAAAAACATTTGTAGTAGTATACTGACAGGGAATTGCCAGAAATTCAAGCTGGATTCAGAAGAAGATGTAGAACTAGCGATATTATTGCCGATGTCAGATGGATCTTGGCTGAAAGCAAAGAATCTTAGAAAGATGTTTATTTGTGTTTTATTGATGATACAAAAGCATTTGACTGTGTGGATCATAACAAATTATGGGTAACATTGCAAAAGAATGGAAATTCCAGAGCACTTCATTGTGCTTATAAGAAACCTATGCATAGACCAAGAAGCTGTTGTTTGAACACAACAAAGGGATACTGCATGATTAAAATCAGGAAGGGTGTGCTTCAAGGTTATATCCTTTCACTGTATTTATTCAATCTGCATGCTGAGCAAAAAATCTGAGAACCTAGACTATATGAAGAAGAATGTGGCATCAGGATTGAAGGAAGACTCATTAACAACCTGTGATATGCAGATGACATAACCATGCTTGCTGACAGTGAAGAAGACTTGAAACACTTACTGCTAAAGATCAAAGACTACAGATTCCAGTATGGATTATATCTCAACATAAAGAAAACAAAAATCCTCACAACTGGACCAATAAGGCACATGATAATCAGAGAAAAGATTAAAGTTATCAAGGATTTCATTTCACTTGGATCCACAATCAACATCCATGGAAGTATTCAAGAAGTCAATTGTATTGCACCGGGCAAATCTGGTGCAAAAGACCTCTTTAAAATGTTAAGAAGCAAAGCTATCACTTTGAAGACTAAGGTGTGCCTACGCCAAGTCATGGTATTTTCAATCAGTCACCTCATGTGTGTGTGAAAGCTGGACAATGAATAAGAAAGACTGAAGAAGAGCTGATGCCTTTGAATTGTGCTGTTGGAGTAGGTACAGGCATAAGGCTTAGTCTATTGTTAGGGAAAGTGTTAGGGTTTGAGTTACGGTTAGGGTTCAAGTAAGGTGTGCTAGGGTGTGAGGCCTAGTGTTCGGTCTAGTATGTAGGTTATTGCTAGTGTTAGGATTGATTAGGGGTGGAGTTAGAGATTAGAGTTAGGGTTATAGTTGGGAATTAGGCTAGGGCTAAGACTGGGACTTAACCTAGTGTTAAGGTTAAGGCTAAGGTTAGGGTTAATTGTTAGAATTAAGGTTAGGATTAATGATAGTTTTAGGGGTTAGTGTTGAAATTAGTGTCAGTATTAGGCTCAGGTTTAGGCTTAGAGTTCAAATTGGAATAGGGCTAGAAGTAGGATCTAGTGTTACGGTTAGGGAAAAGGTTAAAATATGTTTAGGGTTAGAGTTTATGCCATGGACTGCCAGAACACTGAACAAATCTGTTCTGAACAAAGTGTAGCTGAAATACTACTTAGAAGTGAAAATGGGCAACTTCATCTCACCTACTTTGGTCATGTTGTCAGAATGGACCAGTCCCTGGAGAAGGATATCATGCTTGGTAAAATAGAGGAGTTAGTGAAAAAGGGGAAACTGTCAATGAGAGGGATTGACACAGTGACTGCAATGATTGTCTCAAGCATAGCAAGGATTGTGAAGATGACACAGAACCAGGCAATGTTTTTGTTCTGTTGTATGTAGGATCTCTATGAGTTGGAGCCAAATTAATGGTACCTAACAACTATCTTTATGAAAGCAAATTACCATCTTTCTCCCACAGAGTGGCTGGTGGGTTTGAATTGCTGACCTTTCATTTCACAGCTGAGCACTGTGCCAATAGGATGTCTTAATGTGTGATAAAATTCATAGAAATAGAATTTTGGAAACAAAGGGACATTTTAAATTTTATAAGATACTGCCAAATCAGCCTTTGCTTTTGAGATCATGGGCAGAGTTTGAGTACTTCCTGATTTCAAGTTGCAAAACGAGCTTTCATGATTAGGTTTAATTTTCATTAAGACTGGGAGATTTGAACTTGATGTTTTTGTCACTCTTAGTTTTTGTCATTAAAGATTTTAGGCAGTTATGCTTGATTTATTCTACATTTTTAGCTTCTTATGGGCAGAGTATCAAAAGATGTATAGGCACAGGCCTGATACACTATTAGGCACGTAACAGGGACTCATATATTATTTGACACATAGTGAGTCGGGGCCGACTCGACGGCAAATAACAACAACAACAACAATACACGGGGAAGTCAGGATTCCTGGTGGCGTAGTTCCAAGACACAACCAGTTTCCCAGCCAAGGAACAATGCTAGACTTATTGGGAACCCCATATGCTAAGACATAAAGTTTTGCTCTTATGAATCTTATCCTTTTCACCATTATTTTTTCTAATTACTTATTTTTGTTACATAGGAATTTATTTTTCTCTATCAATTGCTATTTTAACCAGCCACCTTATTGAACTTATTTGTCTATAAAGGGAAGGCCTGTTATGTTCTAGTATTGTGGGGAATAGCTAATATTGGCTTTCTTCCCAATGTTGTGCCCAGGTGGTGCTTGCCTACTAACCAAAAGATTGGTGGTTGAACACATCTGGAGGTACCTCAGAAGGAAAACTGGCCATCTGCTTTCAGAAGATCACAGCCATTGAAAATGTTATGGAGCACAGTTTTACACTGACACACATGGAGTCACCATAAATTGGAATCAACTCAATATAAACTTTTTGTTTTTAAATTGCTTTCCAATGTACTTTTTATTTTTAATTGTCTTAAATTTGTTCTTTATGTTAGTGTTCAGAAATAGAACAATGACTCATCATTTCCTTCCCCACATTGATAATATTTTTCTCAGTGACCATCAGCTATTTCAGTAATCCTAGAGATGCAGTGGTTAAAGCACTTAGCTGCTAACCGAAAGACCAGCAGTTTGAGCTTACCAACCATTCCACAGGACAACGATGAGACAATATGCTTTTGTAAAGAATTGCAGCCTTGGAAGCCTTGTGTGGCAGTTCTAACCCTGTCCGATAGGGTCTCTATGAGTCAGAATAGACTCAGTGTCAATGGGTTTGTTTTTGGGTTTACCAGCTATTTCAGTCAAAAATTGTACATAATGTAGCTTTTCCAATGGTTAATTTTAAGGGGAAAAAAATCCTTTGTTTGATTTTTGTTGTTTTCTTTTGCTTACCTTGGCAGAGGATAGGCTAATGACATGCTGATCTTTTTCATTTGTTACAATCTCAGTGATACTGAACATGTGTCCCACAAGTTTCCCCACTGGCTTGGTGCTTATATTGGGATGCCACAACCGGAGCACTTTATCATCTCCTGAAAAGGAGGACATAGAAAGATTGTTTATTTTCTCAAGGGATACAAGTAATCTAAGTTTAAAATGTCTCTCACCCAGACACATCCTTGGCTTTCTTCTAATATCAAATCACAGTCCATCTATTCCACGCTGTGCTTTATGATTGACTTGCTAAACTACTATCTCATTCTTAATCTGCTTCTATTTGTTATGGTTGTTTTATAATAATTACTTTTACAAATACAAATATAAATTCTCATAAATATTTTATGAGTATTTCCATTCATTCAATTCTTCCCTCTTCATCCATGCATTAATGTATTATTTATACTTTATTTACTTCCAGAAAGTATTTAAAGCAGCTGTTCTTTTGTTTTCACATTCTTAAATTATGCAAACGTTATAATAATAAAAGAAATCAAGGAAGAAGAAAATTGCACATAATCTTACCATCTTAACAAACCAATTGTTTCTTTTTCCCTTCTAGCAATTGTCTCCAAGCATTTATAATTTATAAGTAATTATTATTATAGCATATACTTGTGTTTAATCATTAAGATCACTCAGGTACATGATAAAAGATTCAAAATCATGGAAAGGTATATGTTTTTATTGAAAATGTCATCTTTCTCCCCATAATTTCTAGTTCCACCCCTGTTGGTAATTACTGTTAATAATTTAAAAAAACTAGTTAGATCTACTTCTAGGTATATTTTTACACCATATTTTTTATGTTTATGGAACACCACAGGCCCATGCCTTCATAATTATTATTAATTACTGCATAGTATTTAATTTAGCTGTTATATTATAATTTCTTAACCATTCCTCTATTGATAGATGGTCTGCTGATTCCATTTTTTATTTTACTTCACAACATTGCAAAGCAAATTTGCAAAAAAAATTTGTTTTGGATTATCTACTAAGGATAAATTCCAAAAAGTAGGAACACTGCCATAAAGGGTATAAACATTTTTACAATTCTTAAAACATATTGCTAGTTGTTTTCTAAAACAATTTTATCATATCCCAAGACCAACAACTGCATAAGGTTAAACCAGTTTCATGACATCCTGGCCAGGGATATGTAGATGACACAATCTTGCTTGCCAAAAGCAAAGAGACTTGAAGTACTTACTGATGAAGATCAAAGACTACAGCCTTCAGTATGGATTACAACTTAACATATAGAAAACAAAAGTTCTTACAAATAGACCAATAAGCAACATGATAAATGGAGAAAAGAATGAAGTTGTCAAGGATTCATTTTATTTGAATTCACAATCAATGCCCATGGAAGCAGTAGTCAAGAAATCAAATGATGTATTGCACTGTAAATCTGCTATAAAATTTCTTTAAACTGTTACAAGCAGAGATGTCACTTTGAAGACTAAGGTGAATGTGAACAAAGCCATGAAGATTGGGCAATCTACTTCTGTAGAGATACTGCCTCCGAAACCCAAGGAGGGGTTGCTGAGTCAGATTTGACTTAATGGCAGTGATTTTGGTTTTGGTTTTTAGTATGCATGCAAAAGCTGAACAATGAATAAGGAAGACTGAGGAAGAATTGATGCATTTTTTGGTGAAGAATATTGAATATACCATGGAATGCCAGAAGAACAAACAAATGTCACTATAAAGCTGGAATATTTACTTCTTAGAAGCTAGGGTGATGAGACTTCACCTCTTGTACTTTGGTCTTGTCAGGATGGTCCAGTCTCTGGAGAAAGTATCATGCTTGGTAAAGCAGAGGTCAGCAAAAAAGAGGAAGATCCTCGATGAGATGGATTGACACATGGCTTCAATAATGAGCTCAAGCATAACAATGATTGTGAGGATGGCACAGGACTAGGCAACATTTTCTTCTGTCATGCATGGGGTCACTATGAGTTGGAACTGACTTGATGACACCTAACAGCAACATTGCCATCTGTGAATTGTTTGACTGTATCCTTTACCCATGATCTATTGAGATTCTGATGGTATTAAATATAAAAAAATAATCAAATACTTACTATCTCACACACAGTTTTACCACAAAAACTGGCTAGTTGTTTACCAAACCTATATCCTCTCTTCTGGGTACACAGTGAGGACTCTATTTCCCAGACTCTCTTATAGTTAAAAGTCACTGACTTTTAACCAATGAATTGTTAGAGCTGATTTTAGATTTTACATGACTGAGAAGAAATAAATTTCTATAACGTTTGAGCTATTATACCTTTTGAGGTTTATTTGTTACAGCAGCTAGCGTTATTTAAACTAATTGGACAATTATAATCCAATTGTGTTTTTAAAAGAATAATATAAATTATATTAAAAATTCATAAAATATAGAACATTTTTAAGATATTGGAATCTTTATTTCATAAATAATTCATTAAATGTCATCTTGAAAGCCTGAGTAATAAAAACACCAAAAAATTTCCAAGTTAGTACCCTAAAAGTCCTGTAATTCAACACTCTTATGTCACAGAAGAAAACTGAAACTAAGTCCTAAAGATGTGATGTGAATCACACATCAGAAAATGGCATACTGTTAGGAGTACACTAACGAATTTTTAAGCACCTTACTTATTTATTTATTTTTTTACTGTGATTTGGGTGAAAGTTTACAGAGCAAATTCACTTTCCATACAGCAGTTCACATACACTTTGTCTTATGACATTGACCACAATTTACCACAATGCAACGGCTCCCCTCCCACTTCCTCCCAATAATTACCTCTTCCCTGTGTCCATCCCTCCATGCACTCCTGCCCCCTGAGCTGTCTCCCTGTGCATAAGCAGCCCTTCTTTCT